GCTGTGGGGAGTCTGTGCCCCTCGATGTGGCCACCCATCGACCGACCTCCACGCGCCGCCGTAGGGAGGCCGCCCGCCATCCTCCGCGCCCCGTCGTAGGGAGACAGCCCGCCGACCTCCGTGCGCCACCGTGGGGAGGCCGCCCGCCGACCGGCCGCCCCTGAGCCCCTCGACGTGGCCACTCGCCGTCCTCTGCGCGCCACCGAAGGGAGGCCACCCGCCGACCTCCACGCTCCACCGTGGGGAGGCCGCCCGCCGACCAGCCGCCCCTGAGCCCCTCAACGCGGCTGCTCACAATCCTCCGCGCGCCGCCGTAGGGAGGCCGCCCACCGACCTCCGCGCGCCACCGTGGGGAGGCCGCCCGACGACCGGCCACTCCCTAAGCCCCTCGACACGGACGCTCGCCGTCCTCCGCGCTCCGCCATGGGGAGGCCGCCAGCCGTCCTCCGCGCACCACCTGCCAACTGGCCGCCCGCCGTGAGCAACCGTTGGGAGGGATCCAAATATAGAAAAGAAGATAATGGGGGAGAGAAAAGGATGGGAGAGAAAAGGACGGGAGAGAGATGAAAAGAGGATGGGAGAGAAAAGGAAGCGATGCACACTTAAAATCGGTGGGTAGATATTTTCGTCGGTGGAGCCACATCCGATTGGCTCAGCTCGTTGTATAGGTGTTGGTTCTGTTAAAAAACCAACACCTATACTATAGCTATAGGTGTCGTTTTTTTTTATAGAACCGGCTATAGGTGTCTTTTTTTTTTATAGAACCGACACATATATTATAGGTGTCGGTTCTATTAAAAAACCGGCACCTATAGTAGTGGTACCGGTTTTTCTTTAGAACCGACACCTATTAGCTTAAAGGTGTCGGTTTTATATCATTTTCATCGTCCGGAGATGGGAAAAGGTATATAGGTGCCGATTTTAAATGAACTGGCACCTATGAGGCCGGTCTATAGGAGGGTTTTTTTAGTAGTGACTAACATATATTTGATAAAAGATATATTTTTCTATGACATATTATAATATTATTTTTCTTCTGTCCATAGCAAAGCGTAGGTATTTTGCCAGTATTGGATAAAGTATGCGGCAGCAGTGGTGTGTAGTATAGGGATGCATATACGTGGAAGTGGATCTTATATGTGTTATTAGATTACCCTGTGGTTTACTACACATGAAGAAACAAAATAATAAATTGAATGTATTTTCATAGTTTGATTCATTTTTTATTATGGTACATGGATCAAATTTAACTTCCATTACTTAAAAAGATCAATTTAACTTATATTACTTAAAAAAATCGATTTTAACTTGAGATGTAATAAACACTTAGAGAGACGAAGACCAGCAGCATCCTGGTCCCGCTAAATTGTTATTGAAGCATAGTACTTACATATACACATAATATTTTTTACCCACGACTCCACCACAACACCACTCGTACTTTCTCAATGTATGAATTGTTTTTATAGTACATCTATTTGAAGAATATGCGTGAAAGAAAACATAACCCTCGCGGGGGCAAATTAAATTTTCACATATGTGTACAATGTACTAGATGCTGGAGGCAGCTGGTAGATTGAGACAGCAGTGGAATGCCCTATCTCTGGTACATATCAAGCCTTGGCTGCTTGGCATGCATATATGTATGCTCCTTTCGAGTGAGGATGCTATGAGATCTGCCCATGCATATATCCTTTCCTTTTTGGTTCGGAAGAAAAGGATAGGAGGATGAATTCCAGCCATGTTGCAAGGTGCACAGATATGCCACTTGTGACTTGATTGCATATATATCTCCTCTTCCTTCTCCTCCACATCCTTTCACTAACGCAGAAAGCATTGGCTTCATTAATTTTCCTCTCACATTCCCATCCCCATCTCCCGGAGAGCTGCTAGCTAGTGCATTTGCATGGATCGGTTACTTTTTATATAATAGAAATGGCTTATATCTTTGGCCTCTCTACCGTTATTAGGTACAAAACCATGCATGGACCTGAAGAGATAACCACTAATTTTGCTTTCGTTTTGCTCAATTAGAGAAAGGGTAGCTGCCAACACCTGCATTTCGGGAAACAACAAACCATTGTCTTCAACAACCAACTAGGACATTTGGTGCCAACACACATCATGCCCTGGTAGCCACACGCAGAATGCAGGACGAACAGACAAATATACAGCTCTATGCTTCCCAAACCTGATTGGTCATGACAGAGAATATATAAGATAAAAACAAAATCAGGACATTGTTGTGTAGTTGTTATCAGACCTGATCAGGGCCAAACAGTTACTCTCGTCGATGATCATTCTGTTAATATTTTAGCAGAGTGGCTCTCAATGCAAATCTTCAAAAAGATGATTAAAAGGTAATGGTCAAAGTATGTGCACTCGAATAAAACTGCTAAAATATTTATGATCAGCAGAAATATGTGCTGCATACATATATATAAAGTGTGTGACGCTATATATACATGAAAATTATCACTTTTTAAGTATATGTGAGCCTATTGTTTTCAGGACTCAACTGTTCCATCAGCATAAGATCTTTCTAAGATTAGGAAGAAAGAGACCCACCAACCACCATACAACAGCTTCTAATTTCGAATGGATGACACATGGCATGCTTGATAAGTGTGTTTTCTTCACAAATATCTTTGCCGGTATATATTGCTCAAATAATTTATCTAAGCTATTTGTTAGCTTTATACTATATACTGTAATACTTAATTCATATGTACAGGTAATTATTTACGATCTTCTTCGTTATTTAAAATGGGGTTAGACTTAGTTGTTTGTTTACCAAACATGTCTAATAAATTAAGTTTAGATAAAAAAACAAGTTGTTTTTCCCTTTTTCTAATTGAATGTTTAGCGGCTCTTTTTTTACAAATCTTGAAAATAGTTATTATTGGTAATAAATATGTTTTATTTGAACCATCAAGCTAGCCCTCTCTCAAATTGGTTTTGGGCTGCAGTTGGTCTATGTCGATTTATCCCAGAACCCATTATTCTGTGACAAAACCCCCAAACTATGGTTTAACTTTCTTGCACTCATGCCACGAAACCTAGCCTTTTGTGAAATTTATACTTAAACAGTTGTTAAGTTAGCCTCTTATTTGATCATGTAGCACTAACACAAAACACAACCTACGTAACAAAATGGTGTTCCTCGTATATAGAAGTGGTTTTTCACCCATTAAGGTTGAGGTGTCCCCTCATATTCCTTTACCTCTTAAATATAATAAGAGTAGTTCTGATTTTTTTTTAAAAAAAGGAAACACTGGCAATATATATTGACATCTACCATGCACCGAATTGAAAAAAAGGGTATAAAATTGAGCTATAAAGTTAAAAAAAAAGAAGACAAATACAGTTGTGTTTTAAGGTTGAATTTCAACTGGTATTAGATACATATTAATTGTACCAAGTCCATCGATATTTTTATCTCTTCATAAATCATAACTGTTTTGTTTTTCGGAAGTGTGGGGAGGGGGAGTAATGCCTAAGTTAACCTTATTAATTTAATTATCTCCAACATTAGCACAAATATTATGGAAATGTAATTTGGTATTCAAAGTTTCAAACAATTACTCACTTTCTAGAGCTCGTGTATGTCTTATCGGAAAACTCATTGTGATCTGATACGATTAATCACCCTTTATTTTTCAAAATTTAATAAAGGTTTTATTTTTAGACTTTTATAATTATTTGAAACTAATAGAAAGTGGCATCAATCAAGTTTTTTTTCTCATTCTATCTCAGAGTATCCATTCATTCGATACTCATTCTCTTTCAGTTGGACTTTCTGAAATTGAGGAATTCAAGCTTTTTCTAGCTGCTCAATGGTCCATTAATTTGTGCAATTCTTTTGAATTTCAAGCTAATGGTAAGATCCTTTTGTCTTCAATTATCTAAGAAAAAAAGTCCATATACCCCTTAAATTTTGACTGAAAATTTATATAGCACCCTAAACTTTCAAACCGGATATTTAACCCCATAAACTTTTCAATACCTTTTATATAATCCCTAATTAACGTGGTTTTGCATAGTTTTCTTTTATCTAGTTTGTACATAATTTGGAAGAGTTTGATCACGTGACATACACATTTCACATATATTTAAATCTTCACTTAAATATTTATTTTTTACTATTTCTTAGCTCCTACTTGCAAACAACTATCAACATAATAATAGTATGATATCACTGTACAGTAAACTGTTGATATGTAAATATATTATATTAGTTATTCAAAGTGACATGTTTTAGCTTTCAAATATGCAAAACCATCATCCAAAATCATCTTAGGGGATAATATGAATGGTAATCTAAGTTTACGACTTTTACAGGGACGTCCCCTGCATGGAAATTTTGTTGCTGGTACGAAGAAATTGATCGAACGCCGGGCCATTTTCACCGGATAGGTTTGGTCTGTTGTAAAGTACAGCTAGCCGCGGGTCCCTATCCATGCCATCGTAAAAATGCCCATCTTGTCTGGGCTTTCCCAAATAATGCAGAAATCCCAGACCTTTTCTTCATCATAGCCCGTCCTCTTCATGGACCACGGTGTACAGCTTGCTTAAAGCTTGTCCATTGCCGGCCTCCTCCCGCTAAACCCTAGCCATCCGCATGCATGCACGTGAACTACTCGATCCACCGCCGCATGCACCACCAGATTCAACCCCATGTTGCTACAAACATGTAAGACTAAATTCAACTTCTACAGGTTAGCAATAAAAAACAAATTAAACTGAAAATAGTTATCGCACATTCGCATATATATTTGTTATTTTTGTTACAACTGGTAGAAGTTGAATTTAAATTTTTATATTTGTGGAGTGATATATTTCATATTAATCTATATTACTATTTTTTAATTTTTTTATAATTATTTAGGTCTCATGCACAAAACAAGAGGATATTACCTCGAAGGATGAAATAACTTTCCCCGTTACACTGTCCAATCCGTTTATTTACACGAGAACGTACGTACGCGCGCTCGATCTCGCGTCTCCTCCCGGCCTATATAAACCCCAGTGGCGTTGCACTGAGCCCTAGCTCAAACACTGTGTACTACGCAACACACACATAGGCACAGTTAGTGCACGTACATCTTGCTGAATTTGCTTGAGCTCGTACGTGCGTAGTGTGGTAGCCATGGCCAAGGCAGTGATGATGCTCCCCGTCCTCCTCTCCTTCCTCCTGCTGCCATTCTCGTCCATGGCGCTGACGCAGGATTTCTGCGTCGCCGACCTGACCTGCAGCGACACGCCGGCGGGGTACCCGTGCAAGGCCAGCGTCGGCGCCGGCGACTTCGCCTACCACGGCCTCGCGGCGGCGGGCAACACCAGCAACCTCATCAAGGCCGCCGTGACGCCGGCCTTCGTCGGCCAGTTCCCCGGCGTGAACGGGCTCGGTATCTCCGCGGCGAGGCTGGACATCGCCGTCGGCGGCGTCGTGCCGCTCCACACCCACCCGGCCGCCTCCGAGCTCCTGTTCGTCACCCAGGGCACCGTCGCCGCCGGGTTCATCACCTCCTCCTCCAACACCGTCTACACCAGGACGCTGTACGCCGGCGACATCATGGTGTTCCCCCAGGGCCTCCTGCACTACCAGTACAACGCCGGCCAGTCGGCGGCGGTGGCGCTCGTCGCCTTCAGCGGCCCCAACCCCGGCCTCCAGATCACCGACTACGCCCTCTTCGCCAACAACCTGCCGTCCGCCATCGTCGAGAAGGTCACCTTCTTGGACGACGCGCAGGTGAAGAAGCTCAAGTCCGTCCTCGGCGGTAGCGGTTAAGTTCGTCGTACGTCTCTCTCCGGTCGAGTTGGTCGCCGCCGCCGCCGTCGTCGTCGTCGTGGTGGTCACTCCGTGTGATTGATTAATTTGCATGCATGCACTTCTGTCATGGGAATGTGTCTGATTTCTTTTTTCATGTTATGCTTAATTTGTTCATGTCAATTTCTTTCAGATTAATTAAGTGGTGGTTCAAATAATCTCTAGGTGTGTCACTGTAATTTGTTGGAACGAAAGACTAAACTGTGCATCGATCCAATTGGTCATTTTTTTTTGTCAGTTCAAAGCTTCGTTTGGCATGCAGTTGTGTCTTGTGTGTACTGCAGTGGATTCTCTGTTTTTGGCCTTCTTTGCAAACGGGACTGTTGCATTCCAAGTATGGAATGCATAGAGGAATGTTTTCCACCCCAGGAAACATAAGACTAATGCATCAAATTAACTAACTTAATTCGGTCTGAATTGAAATATAGGTATTTCATCTGTTCTTGTTCCTGGTGTGTTCTAATTGGACGATTGATAGATTACGGACATAAGAAAATTGCTAATGGATGAATTAAATATTATAAAGCTGATAAATAACTTAGAAAAATATTAGGTAATGTTAATGTACAAAGTTTTTTTTAAGAAATTATACTTTTGGAGAAGTGGCACGATCGAATAATATAAACCTTCGTTACCTATTTCAATGCCGCAACATAATTCAAACCATCTTGAGTTTGACAAATATTTTTAAAAAATGGAAAGAACACTAGGCAATATTTTAGCCCCAAAATATTTTTCCCGAATTAAGTGCAAAGATAACACAACACAGCCTCAGCTAATAAGTGTGGTGCAATTTGGATTTTCGTAGTCTAAGAACTGAATGTACAGGCAAGATTAGTAGTTCAGTGCACATCCTGCAATTAATATGGGATGGGAGAACAGTGGTAGTACTCCAGTAGTCCAGTGGGCACGGAACCTTGGCTCAAGTGCAAGTGCTCAACAAGGCAGAAGCAAGCAACAGGGGAGGGCAAATTGCAGATAGGAACGGCGCCACTGCAAAAGCTAACTGCAACTTATGGCCAGGAAGGCCATATCCGTTTTGTTCCTTATCCCTGCTCGGCTGCTCCAGCTAAACGAGTCCATCAGACAACACAACCACGTACCGATAGAAGATATTTGACGAGGAAATGCTATATCTTGCATTCTTGCTAGCTGCTAGCTTTGCTCATGCATGCATGCTCCATCTGAAGTGTGATTCAGAATTTTCGATTGATTTCATTACAGGTCATAGTGCTTGCATGAGCTCCAACAGTTCATTTTTCATTGATAAATGATAACGAAAAACCACGTAGAGTGTCTTGGTAGTTTCGGCTGGTTAACCTATCTTAAGATTTTTAACACAGTTAAAGCATCCGCAGCAGCTCCTCTATCCGGGCATCCATCATGTGTGTGGCGTATGGAGGTGAAAAATTGTGCTCCAGCAGAATCTCCATCACACACGTCATTTTTAGAGGTCCTCCAAACCGAGCCCTTCACAAGCCAAAAATGACAGTTCTCTCTCCTCACGCCATCCACAACTACCAACCTCGCGCCACCATATGGACTGAATACCGTGGGAGAGAGGAGGTGCATACCGGATTTGGAGGTGGAGATCGCCGGAGTATAGGCGGAGAGGCAGCGGATCTAGCAGTGAGGTCGTAGCCGTCCCCGCCGCTCGGGGTCTCCGCCCGCGCCGCCCCTTCGCCCAGCCGCTCGGGTCTCCGCCTACGCCGCCACTCTCTCCGTCCGCGGCGCCCCTTCGCCTGGCCGCCGCTCCTCCGCCTGCGCCGCGCCGCTGCTCTCGCTGCTCGGCCCTCATCCTCCCCATCCTCTCGACTGTAGAACGGATATACTAGTGAGGAAGATTTTTTTTTTAATGTGGTGAGAGGTGAGGCATGTGAGCAGTGGTAGTTGAAAAATATAGTAAAACAGGGGCGGGTCCAAGATTTTGAGATTGGGTATTTGAAATGGAAAGGGGGTAAAAAACAAATTTTACAACACGAGCACAATATTTGGTATCTATGATCAACAATGTGGTATTTTAGGACCGCTTATTGAATTAAAACTTGTGACAAGGTTTTTAGCAATTTCCTTGATTTATTGTGATATACTTTGTAAAAAACATATGCAGTACAATCTACCAACCAAGTATATATCGATTATCATCATGCCATCACAACACGGTTAATGTACAAATTAGGCAACCATGCAAATTGGGTTCGGATTTGAGGGAGCCAACCTGCTAGGCTTTTTTGTTGGGCTTCTTTTGATCAATAACGTTTATTTTCTTTATTTCTCTGCATACATATGAAATATGAATTTTTTTGTCTAAAAATCTTGGGTATTCATTTGAATACCCTTGAATTGAGCTGGGCCCGCCCATGTAGTAAAATATAGGATGTTGGTATATGGAGGATGTAATATGAATGATCTGCTGAAGTGAAAAATAATATGGAATAGGAATGTTTTTTATGACCATCTAAATGGGAGTATGGAGGATGAAATTTAGATGAGCTGCTGCCTACTGGGGATGCTCTTACACGGATGACCTTGAGGTTTAATGGTCTCTTTGATATATACGCTCTATATATGGCTCTTTCTTTAATGAGTAAATTACACTAGCGGTCCTTAAACTTGTAACGAGGTTTCACTTAGATCCACGAACTTGTAAAAGGAGTCTCGAGATCCCTAAACTTAGTTTAATGTATCATCCCGATCCAAAGCCTCGTTCCACCGTGGTCTTGCCTACGTGGCATGCCACGTGGACGATGACATGGATTTTTTTTTATTTTTTCTACTTTCTTCCTTCTTTTTTTTCTCCTTCTGCCACTGGCCCACCTGTCAGTGGGCCTCTCTGACCTCACCTTCCCTTCTTTCCTCTATCCTCTCTCTCTCCGGCCAGTTGAGCGGGACATACGGCCGGCGACCGAAGCGGTGACGGCCGGGGTGGCCGGCGAGAAAGGAGCAGCGCGTGGGCGCCAGCCGACAGCAGGAGAGGAGCGGCACATGTGCACGGGCGGCGGCTGGAGAGGAGAGGAGCGGCGTGTGTGCGCGGCCGATGGCCGGCGAGAAAGGAGCGGCGCGCGGGAGCCGGCCGACGGGGGGACGCGCGTGCACGGGCGGCGACCGGAGAAGAGAGGAGCGGTGCGCACGCGGGGGAGGCGTCACCGACCACGCCCGAGAGGAGAGGTCGCCGACCATGGCCACGTGTGTGGGGGGAGGCGTTGGCCATAGAGCGCGCGAGCTCGACGGCGTTGATGAAGCCGTTGCCGCCGGCGGCCTCCCCGCCCCATTGCCTGGCGCTGTTTTTGCCACCGACCTGCTTTGCCGGCCGGCCGGCCGCCCCCACTCCAACCCGCCCGTCGCCTGCTTCGGTCGTCGGCCGCCTGTCCCGCTCAACCGGCCGAAGAGAGAGAGGAGGGGAAAGTGAGGTCAGAGAGAAGAGGATAGTAGTGATGCCCTGACCCATAGGTCCTACACAATTTTTTTTCATTTCTTTTGTTATTGTAATGCCATATCAGATAATGAAGACTAAGTTAACTCGACACGGTGATGTCTAGCGAAAACCAACTTCAAAACCACCAAAAGAAGTTGTTTTGCACCCGTTTTAGTAGTTGGTAATTAAGATATAGGGTATTGTGGTTGAGTGATACGAAATAGATTGGACCAATATTATTCCTAATACAAAGGAGTTGGCATTGTGCAACCCAGTGACAATCCGCCCCCATTATGTTCAGGCCCAACACAGACAATTCAGGCGAGCCCAATGGGATCACCACCCTAATGATGGCCCAACTTGTGAGCCCCCTTGCCTTTCTCAGCCTTCCACCCTCCAACCCAATCACCAATGGCTCCGCTCCGAAAATCCCCTCAGATTACAGTCGGCCGGTGCCGCTACCGCCGCGGCGACTCGCCGGCTGGAGCGGGCCCCGTGCATCCGCCGTAAAAATGACGAACGCATCAACCACGAAGGGGGAAGATAGCACCTGGAGAAAAAAATCTCTTCATCTTCATTGGCCGGCGTGTGATCGTCGTCATACACTCGTACCCGTCTTGCAAAGTTGCCAATCGTCAAGGCCTCGCACGGACGCGCGCTTCCCTGCACACGCAACCAGCAAAGCGTCGTCAACTTCCCGCACGTTGCTCTGCTCGTACACCACACCTCCACACCTACACGCGCGCGCGCGCATGCATGCGCACGCCCCGTCCTTCCCGTGTATAAATAGCCCAACAATACACCACTGTTCAGTCATCTCATCACCTAGCTACAGTAGTAATCCACCATGTCGTCGACGCCGCTGCTCCCGGTTCTCCTCTCCACCATGATCCTCCTCTCCGCCGTCTCCACCACCACCACCGCGCTGACGCAGGACTTCTGCGTCGCCAACCTGCCCCTCGGCGCCGACACGCCGTCGGGCTACCAGTGCAGGCCGGCGGCGACGGTCACCGCCGCGGACTTCTACAGCGGCGCCCTGGCCAGGCCGGGGATCCTCATCAGGCCCTTCAACACCAGCCTCGCCTCGGCGTTCGTGCAGCAGTACCCCGCCGTGAACGGCCTCGGCATCTCCGCCTCCCGCGTCGACATCCTCCCCGGCGGCGTCGTGCCGCTGCACACCCATCCGGCCGGCTCCGAGCTCCTCTACGTCCTGGACGGCGCCTTGGTCGCCGGCTTCATCTCCTCCAGCGACAACAAGGTGTACTACAAGGAGGTGAGCAAGGGCGGGATGTTCGTGTTCCCGCAGGGCCTGCTCCACTTCCAGTACAACACCGGCGACACGACGGCGGTGGCGTTCGCGGCGTACAGCAGCTCGAACCCCGGCCTGCAGATCCTCGACTACGCGCTCTTCGCCAACAACCTGCCGACTTCCTACGTGGTGAAGGGGACATTCTTGGCCGAGGCCGAGGTGAGGAGGCTCAAGTCCAAGTTCGGTGGCAGCGGCTAGCTAACTCGATCGTCTAGCAAATTAATAGCCATATTATATACTCGATCGGCAGCCGGCAGGGTTTGGTCGATCGTGGTGTCTGGTGTGAGAATAATTTCCAGTAGTTTGGAGTCAAATCATGAATGGTGTCCTCCATTTTAATCTCCTTTGGAATGTCCCAACGACAATGCTCCCTCCGTTTTTAAGTACTCATAACTGGACACCATCTTATATTATATTAATTTAAACTTCAATCAGTTGTTTTTTCTTTTTAAAAAATGATATAAGTACTTGCAAAGATAACAAGTTATCAATGATGTTGTATACCTAAACAAGCGAGTGGTATCTAATAAACTATCATCTCGTTATTTACATATCATCCAAATGGTTATAGAAATATAAAAAAATCAATAAGATAGATTAATATGTGATAAATCACTCTATAAATATACAAGTTAAAACACACGGAAGTAGATATTTACTATCGGAAATGTGAAGTGAATATTTACTATCGGAAAGTGGATATTTATCCGTGAACACCTCCTCTATTTTTTTAATATTTCCGACCAATTTAGGAGAGAAAACACATGAAATGACTAGGATACCTCGGTGTCTACCTAGTTCATATGGACCTGGTTAGGTTCAACCCTGTACAACACAAGTACACAACTGATCCCCATCGCACACATCTAAGGATACTGGAAGACAGTCACTTCCCGCATGGTGGCGACAACTAGCTTTGCCTACATGAGATAGATCCATGAAGATGACACGCTTCGAGATGGAGGCAAAGCCGCGTGGGCGTAGTGGTAAGTCGTGCCTCTTCGTGCGCATTCAATACTTTGTATGCGTATCCAGAGAGTAGCACTTCGTTAGAGGTTGCTAGGGCGTAACTTACATATGACTAAGTAGAAAGGTGATAGTGTAATTGGTAGCGCTACTAGGGCGTGAAGGTGAGGTCCTAGGTTCAGTTCCCATGCTTTGAGTGTGCTTGTCTTTTATTTTCTCTCTGGCCCACGAATCTCAAAACGCATATGATGGCCCAAAATTCGAAAGTTCTCCCACTTGTTCTCTGGTGCACAAATCTCAAAGTGCATCTAAGAGCAAGTATAATAGTAGGCTATAAGTCGGCTAAATGCTGAGGTGGAGGAGAGAAGAGAGGAGAGAGAGGAGAAGCAGGCTGTAAACTTACAGCCGGCTTAGACACAAGAACCAAGAAACTCTGTAAGAGAGACAAGTGGGCCATGTATTAATTGTAAAGAGCTAACTATTACTCTCTCCATCTACTTTTGATAGTCGTATTTCATCTTGGCACACAGACCAAGGATAAGTAATTCTACTTATCATCCATTTAAACATACTACTAGTCATTTCTCTTAAACAAGCGATTCATTAATATTTACATTTCTCGATACCCATGTAGTCAATCTTGTGTGGAAGAATGGAGAGTCATGCATTAAATCCGAGAAAGTCATTAAGAGGATAAGTTGTTGAATTGAAATATGCCTTAAAAAATAAACTTTTTAGATTTAGAAATATGACCATCAAAAATAGATGGAGGGAGTATATGGGTAGGCTGAGAGAATTTGAAAGTTCTCCCACTCTTTTTATTTTTCGACAGTGTTTCCCCAAAACTTCACTTTTACGGTGTCCCTATAGCTAAAATCACAAGCCGTTGTCCACTTCCAAATATTGACTTTTCGACAATGTATGTCTTCTTTAAAAAAGCTAAAATCACCAAGTTAGAGTGTCCTGTGTAATAAATTTTAACTTTCAGTTAAAGTACTTCATCAATTCGCACTCTCTCTCCGGGTGCTAAACTATTCCATAGCGTACATACGTAGGTATCACGGCCTCTAATAAACGATGAGGAATTTTGACGGCTACATTATTGTACGCATATAAAAAATCATCAGGCGTGACAGTTACATGATCTATAAAGAAGCATTTTTTTTCCATCTACTCCTACGTGGGTACTGCACGAAGAGCACGGATAGACCCATGCTATAGCTAGCCGCTTAGAGCAAGTTTAATAGTATAGTCCATTACTAGCTCCAAATCATCTATAGCCAATGTAATAGTTAATTTATACAATAGTGCTTACTATACTATTAATACCTGGTCCCACCTATCATACACACATTATATCTTATAGTTCGTGCTGCAGCTGGCTACAGATCTGTAGCCCGCTGCTCTTCTCTCTTTTTCTTTATCTCTTTAAAATATGTTTATTACTGGATTATAGCCTACTATTGTACCTGCGTGCTTCGATTCTTCACGCTACAAGTACAATTCAGAAATAAATACTGGGAAACAGCAAGGTTAGCTTTAATAATTAGAGCACGTTTTCCACCAGCTCCTATCTGATCACCCTCCTGAAGTGTCATGATGCAGACTAGGCGAGGGTGTCTGAATTTTCCTTTAATCTTCAGAAGTTCAGACATCAGAGTAATTCCTTGTGCATCGTAGTTTAAATTTGTCGACATAAAAGAATAGATAATGCAAATATGGGAGAGGTGAATTTGAGATTGGGTTTTGTGAGCTTGTGATTCGAAATTAGATTTGAGAACGGTGTGACAAATACGATTACAACCATATTCACGTTGCAATCTTGACCATATGAAGCCTGCTTGGTTGACTTTTCCCATCAAAATAACAGTTACTAACTGGTACGATGCATAAATCTGCTAGACAACTGATATGAAACATTATGCAATACACATATAGATACAATCTGTGCTGATGACCCAAGGTTTACATAGGCTAGAGTAGCTACTGAATCAGCAATGGATCATATCAGATTTGGTGAAAGAATAAATTACCGTCAAATTAGGTCCCAAAAATAAGCTAAATCACCTCACCGTTGCCCTTTATTTTCCTTACAATACACAATCGTATCCTTGATTTACTTATCCCGCAGTACATTTACATCCGCGACTTAGGCTGTCCGAGGAACGGATAGTCCGTGTAACCCACGACAGGATCGGGCGTGTAGAATGTCTTACGCACGTACTTGTTCAGCCCGGCGTTCAGCCTGAACCGCTCGACCAGGTCCGGGTTTGATATGAAGAGCCGCCCGTACGACACCAGGTCGGCATCGCCGCTCTCCACTGCTTCCAACCCAAGCTCCCGCGTGTAGCCGCCACTGCACATGAATGTGCCCTGGTACGTGCCCCGGAGGGTGCGCATCAGGCGGCTCTCCTCCTCGGCACTGCCATGCTGCCCAGACTCGGTCTGCCCGTAGGCGGTGTACCGTGGCTGCGTGACGTGGAGGTAGGCGAGCCGCCCTGACTGCTGCTGGAGAGCATTCAGCCGCTCAACAACGGCCATGCCGAGCTTAATGGGGTCTGAATCATAGGCGTCAAGGTGATCAATGGCTGGTGATATCCTCACCGCGACTCGGTCTGCTCCAATGGCAGAAACCACAGCCCTAGTTACCTCAAGTAGGAACCGGCAGCGGTTGGAAAGTGAGCCACCATACTCGTCAGTGCGGTCATTGATTCCATCCTTTAGGAATTGATCAATGATATAGCCATGAGCACCATGGATCTCAATGCCATCAAAACCTGTACATGTGATTCATCTCCATATCAGAAAATCGGTGAGATTTCCGATGGCCCATGGTTGGACTGATTGCAAATTTATGTGTTGCATCTTTACCTGCTTCAATGGCATTAATGGCGGCTTGACGATATTGTTCGACAATTTCAGGTATTTCCGATGCTGCCAGGCGCCTAGGTTTAGGATACTTGCCATAGGAGCCATCAGGCATCAGTATTCTCCATCTTGCTGATATTGGCTTATCAGTTGAGGATATTGGTGCAGCACCGTTTGGCTGGTATACTGAAAGGTGAAAAGGCATTGGTCAACATTTGAAGTGAATTTGTTATTAAAAAAAAAGCTTGAAGTGAAGACTAACACATTTGAATCAGTGCATATTATTAATCATATGAACTCTGATAAAGAAAAATAAGTACAACTACTGGATGTCCCTAGTAACAAGTAACAACATGAACAGAGCATAGGTACAGACATAGAGTTGCAATTAGGCCATAATTTGTTGAAGAAGGAAATGAAAAGGGAAATAACATATTTCATCTATCTCATTACACAATACAGTGTGACTGTTTTTGGTAGTGCTTTTTTTTTTTTGATCAAGGGCTACATGGCCCCCATTTCCATTACCAGAAATGAAATTCAAATTACATAAAAGGAAGAAGAGGTTAAAAGAACAAAATACAGCAAGAGAGAGGGATAGGCATAGAGGGTCTGGGACAAACAAGGTGAACACAGGCAATTACTGAAACAGACCACCCCTCATTCCTATCCATGATCACTGAGCCCAGCCAAAAAAAACTACCTAGGTTTTTGGTATTGCATTGACTAAGCATAATTTAATTCAACCTTTCTTCCCTTACCCTTTGAGAAGAAATGAATCTCGAGAAAAACAGGGAACAGAGTTACTCCAGATTCAGACAAAAATACACCCTTTTTCCACATGACAAAGCATCCCTCCATTGATTTATATAAGGCAGGATTTTCAGAAATAGTCAAATTACAAGTGCATTATTGTGTATAGTTATACCAAGAGAATCGTATTTCAAATGCTTTCACAGTACGCGTTTTATAGCTGTAAAGGATACAGTCTATCAGAAATCAATGGTCAAAGATCTATCTTGAAGACTTTTTGAAATTAAAATACACCTTATAAAAATCAAAGGAGACAGTACTAAAATTACCAAGGCACAGGACAATGATATATAGCTAGTACAACTTTTGGTAATTTAATTTAGTGGAACTGCTTTATCATTCTAACATACTATGAAGCTATGAACATACCTTGGTGAGAAGCTCTGCCTACATGCCATAACTGGCAGAAAAAGATGCCTCCCTTGGCATGAACAGCATCCACCACCTTCTTCCATGCATCAGTCTGCTCTTGATTGTATATCCCAGGGACATGAGGAAACCTTCAATAACAACATTCGCTACTTAATATGCATATTCTGAGTTATGACATGACAGTACAGAAGTGACATAAACTTGCAACAAGTTCATCAGTACCGGGTATCAGAAGACTGTCTACATAACTCCAAACATATAGAGCGTGACAATATATCATAGACAGTGAGGGATATCTTATTTTACTTTTCAGGAATGTGTCTAGGATATGTCTTAAGTTTGCAGCGGCGGACACTAACATTACTTGTGAACTCAGTGCATCTCTCCCAAATTTACTTACAATTTTGATCTCACTATCTAAGACCATAAGGCCATTCATCATAGCATCCTATGTAGCATGCTCCAACAACTCCTCTTGAGACAGGGTTAAGAGGAGGAATCTAATTTGGCATTTTGTACTGCCCATCCAAAATATTGTGTGAAAGATAAACCCATGTCAAAAATACAAACAGCTTAATACTCTTTTGTGTTGGCCATAACCGCCACCCACTAATAAAAAAAATAAGAATATTCCAACCCCACTTGATGAAAACTTAACACTACCCTGCCAAATATCCAGTACCAAATCATCCTAAAAAGACAATTTTGTTCTGATGCCACTCCTGCCAGATTTAGCAGTAAACTTTTCTTTAGATAATATTAGCAGCAATAAAACTAGTCGAGCGCAGGAGCATCAAAGCATGTGCCAACAGATCGTGAAAGCGCGGAAAGGGGAGGAGGGCGAAGCGACGAGATTACCCCGGGCCAGCGGGCGAGACGACGGTGCCCTCGGAGATGAGCAGGCCACCCTGGGTGGTCCGCTGCGCGTAGTACTCCGCCAGCGCCGGGCCGGGCACCCCGCCGATCGCCCTGCACCGCGTCATCGGCGCCAGCACCACCCTGCCACCACGTCCACGCACACCACACCCCGTAAACGTAAGCAAAAGAAGACCTCGAAAATCCCGAGCGCAGCGAGACCAGACCACGGGGGCGGGGGGCGGCGAGCGGCTCACCGGTGGTTGAGGCGGAAGCGGGGCATCTGGTACGGCGAGAAGAGCGGCGCCTGCTTCTGCCGCTGCTGATCCGGCGGCGGCCGATCCATCTCTCCCGCTGCTGGATCGCGAGGAGGAAGGGGAAAGCGTGGGGTGGTGGTTGTCACTGTGGAAGACGGGGAAAATGGCGAGTTGGGGAGAGGGCGGAGGAGGGGAACAGGTGAGCGAAATGGGAAAAAATAATTAGGCGAGGAAAGGGAATAGGGGGGAGGAAAGATGCGCGCAACTGCGGAGAGGTGGGAGGTGTGGGGCCCGCGCACGCACTAGGTTGGCACGGTCGTCTTCGCGCGAGGCTTGATTTCGGCATGTGGGACTCGTGCATTCGTGTGCTGGTGAGTCCGGCGGTGGACGGAGGCAGTCTCCAAGATGAGGATACCACACTAACCACGGTCGTGGGGACGAGCTTGTGCAGGAGGCGAGCGGGGGTTGAGCCTAGCTTGATTACTATAGTTATCATCATCAGCGCTCGGTGACCGCCGTCACATATTTATCACCGTACACCCATTATCATTGTCTCTTCACTGTCTGGCTAGATCTGACTTGGATTCAGTCGCCACGTTCACATATCCATCACATCACCGTACGTCCGTTATCGTTGTCTCTCCACTGTTCGGCTATATTTGGCTTGGATTCGGTTGCTACGGGTTCTTTGTCACTAGATCTGATCGACTGCCACCGCCATCGATTCCCCCCTTTGCTATACTTTTTCCTCTCAACCTCACCAACTGCCACCGCCTCCATCTCCACCTCTTCCTCGACCCCTGCCCCCAATTGAATTCGCCATCCTCGCTATTCTTCGTGTGGCCGCCTTGGATGGATCCACCATCCTCGCCGCTACCCCTTTAGCCCCGGTAACACGGAACTCCTTGCCACCAAATCCAACCACCATTCTTACCGTTGCACTTGCAGACGGACAACAGCGAGCAGCGGGGCATTGAATGGTTCATATGTACCATAATCTCTCGCGCAACATATTAGGCTAGCTTGCAAACAGATAAAATTATTTTTAAAAAGATAATCGATGAAATCTTTACAATAAATGTTGTACACGTGGGTAGGCTTACATGTGTGAATGCATCCTAGAGGCAACATTTACTCACTGCCAATAATGGACATGTTATCTATACTCGCACCATCAACTCTCATGTATATATTCCCCACTTCACATCACCAACCCTACACTCCATTGCCATTGTCGCCGCAACAGCGTCCATCTTTTCATCATGTATTCACCACCTCATTGACACTTGTCTCGCTCGTGATTCGCCTTCCCCACATCATCTTCCTCCACGAGCCACTACTCTGCTTACAACGTCATCTCCTACCGCTACAACAAAGCAACAATTAGTCCAATTATCTAGTTAGAGAAGAGCAATTCTATCTCACCTTCTTCATCATCGTTAAGCACTAGAGCCAATCGGAAAATAAATCTCAGAGTGCCCAAGAATATGGAGCCTCAGATATCCCCAAGGTAAGAAATTTTACCAACCACTCCTTATAAATAAGCCTTATTTGTGTATGGACTATTTGGGATTTGGGAGTGCCATTGGTTCATAGTGGCCTCAAGAGGTCGTGACCGTATGTACGTCTAGTCACCACTAGTCTCCTTGACTCAAAGCTAGGTTCTTTTCAAAGGTTCCCCTAGTACGTAAAACGAAATGATGGATCAGCACGTGAACGATTAAATACTCACTATGTTTCATATTATAAGTCGTCTTGTCTTTTTTTCTAGTTTTTTTAAATAAATAATTAAGTTTATAGAAAATATAGTAATATTTTCAATACAAAACAAAAATATAATATATTAAATGATAGTTTTAATTATACTAATTTGGTGCCATATATGTTGCTATATTTATTTTATAAATTTGGTTAAATTTAAGAAAGTTTGACTAAAAATAGTCAAAATGACTTATAGTATAAAACAAACGGAGTATTAGCTTAAAAAACTTAAAAACATGGATGAATATGATTTTTGAAGCAACTTTTATATTGATTTTTTTTTGAAAAAGTTGAGAGTGAAGGATGTCTGGTTTTTGTGGTTTATGGGGTAATTTGTACTATCGCTATAGTTTAGAGGTGTAATTCGGAGTTTTTCCTTTCTTTAATCTACTTTCCCAACTCCACCTCCCTCGTTTTCCTCGTGTGGCTGCCGAAACTACTAAATAGTGTTTTCTTTAAAACGTGCGTGTGGAAAAGGATAGAGTAGAAGTTAGGAAAAGGTATAAGGTTGTGTTCTTTAATGGAAAAAGTCTAAATTACCCCATGCATACAGTTGCAATACAAATTATCCCCTTAATCACGAAACCAGACATCTTTCACCCTCAATTTTTTATACTGGATGAATTACCCCCCTTGACTCGCTCTTGAGTGGTTTTAGTTCTACGTGATGCATAAAAACACTTTAAAAGCGAGAGGCCCTCATGCCAGATATGTTTTTTTATTCTTTTTTAAAAGGTTTAAACCCATAAATCAAAATGGGCCTCACTGCTTTTTGATTTTTTTATTGACTGGACTAACACGTGTACACCACATAGGACCAAAACCTTACAGAGCGAGTCAGGGGGTAATTCGTTCGATATGAAAAACTGAGGGAAAGGATGTCTGGTTTTGTGGATTAAGTGTAATTCTTATGGTTTATAGGGTAATTTGTATTTTCACTATAGTTTAGGCGTAGAATTCGGAGTTTTTCCTTCCTTTCTTTAATGTACTTTCCCAACTCTATCTTTCTCGTTTGTTTTTTCTTCCTTTCTTTAATCTACTTTCTCAACTCTATCTTTCTCGTTTTTCTCTGATGGCTTTTTAAGCTGTTAAATGTTGTTTTTCAAAAAATATCTATAAAAATATTGTTTTAAAAAAATCATATTAACTATTTTTAAGCACTCTACTTTTTACTCCTACCTAGTGTGTACGTGCTTCGTGATCCGTCGCCGTGTCGGATTATCACAGCGGCGGAAACCGCGTTTACCGAATCCGACTCTAACTTCACTTCCACTTGTCCGCGTCGATATACTTCGTCCAGGGCGCCACCTCCCGACACCGACTGCCTCGTCGCGGGCGAACCTACGCGCCGGCGCGACTCATCAGCCGCCGGCGGGTCGCGGGACAGCACAGCGATGGCCGTGGGCGTCCTCGACGCGCCGCTTCCGCCGCCGATCTGCCGGCCGGCGTCCTGCCACGCCGCTTCATCCCCTCCGTCGCTTCCGTCTGGTGCCACCGCCGCCACGTCGCCGCCGGCGCTCTCCATGGACGAGTTCAACGAGAAGTTCTTCGAAGAGTACGGCTGCGACCTCACCGAGCTGCTCTTCACCGAGGAGGAAGTCCGGGTTCTGATGCTCGAGTACGAAGCCGAGAAGGCGCACCTGCTCTCCCATGGCGAGGTGAAGGAGACGGCGCCCGCCGAGCAGGTGCCCGATGCACCGCGCCCCAGCAAAAAGGCGCGCGGCGAGAATGGCAAGGCGGCAGCGGCCGAGAATGTGGAGGTCCAGACGCCGCCGCCACCACTTGTCGCCGATGCACCGCGCCACAGCAAGAAGAGGAAGGCGCCACCGCCGCCGTCACCTCCCCGAGAAGAGGAGGCCGAGGACGCGGTGTTCCAGACTACGCCGCCGCCGTCGCACAAGAAGGTGGCGGAGCGCATCCTGAACCGGCGGTTCTTCCCGCCGGACCCGTCGCACGGGGGCACGATCCTGTGGTGCCTGTGCCGGGAGCTCCTCCCGCGTGGCGGCCCCCGCTGCGCGCTGCACCAGAAGGCGCCGTTCCGGTCGTGGATGTCGGAGCAGGGCTACGTCGAGGAAGCCGGCGGCGCGGGCGGCTGGGCTCTGGTGCCCAAGCTGTCCGCGGAATGCGGGCGCAGCCTGTTCCAGCGGTACGCGCGGTGGCGCCGCCGCGCGTGGATGCCGACCCGCTTCTTCCTGGAGACCACCCAGCCGCCGACCAGGACGTGATTGCGCTGCGGGAGGACGACAGCTTTGATGCTCGCAGGGCGCCGACATGGCCGACATTGGCACTGCTCCTCCGAGATCGATGCCAAGTTGCCTACAACCATGGGCTGTGTTAGTCTGAACTCTGAAGTGTGGAGATGGAAAGGAACATGCAAATATGCATTTATATATGCTCGAGAGACAAAATGAATTGTACTTGTGGTGACATTCCATTTTGCTTAGTATCACTAGTCACAAAATCAAAGCAAAATTTGATATGCTGAGAGATATATTTAGTCTGTAACATCACAATTTGATGATGTATACTCCGGAAATTAATCATGTTTGGCATGAATTAGTCACTAGACTTGTAAAAATGTCACACATGGTTACTAAGAAATGTTACTACATTAGATTCCTGCGTTGCTTTTTTTAGACCAAGTGATTAATTAGCTGCTGCTACGTGTAGTTCTCAACAAATACTATAGTTGATTTGCCATAAAGCAGGCAATGCAAAAGTAAAAGTGCAGTGATCGAAGGTCCTCTAAGTCTCTAACAGTCTAACTAGCAAGAGGCAACCTGATGATTGATGAACATAATAGCACAGCAACTTACATAGGACAGCCATATCAAATGACGAAGAGGGTTTTGAAGCTTTATTGCTCCAGTGTTAGCCTGAACCTGTGCAATTGTGCAGGGCCACCTCGTGAACACGGGCGGCATAACACTACTGTTTCATCCCCTCGAAATTCTCTGTTCAACCGCATTTCAGATATAGTTTAGCACAATGCTCAGTTTATATTAGGAGTGGTAACAGAGATGACAAGAACGGGTGATCTGTACGGTGAAGGTTGAAGAAAAAGATTGAGTTGTACGTGGCGTGCCACTAAGACGTTGTTGAATGTTGATTGGTGACAAACTTTGGTCATGACTGCAACTCCTGTAAGATAAAATAAAAGAGATATTATCCTTTTCTTTTGTTTTTTTTTACGGAGGGAGTATTATCTTGAGTTCACATGGCATGATGTATAGCATTTTATTTCTAGTTGTGACTTGAGTTCACATATGATCTTCTATTTCTAGTTGTGTAATATACGGCTTGGCTCATAACAACTACGACTTTGCGGAAATTCAGACAATTCTTCTGCAAACTGTACACTGGCGGAACTGAGTATCTACCAGTGCAGTTTCGCCAGACCACTGCAGATTGTGATTTGGGAGAAAACAAAAGGAATTACATGCATTTTTCTGTTTGGGATCTCCGGCTTTTAACAATTCAAAACAACAACAAACACAATCCGACGCGGCGACGCCCATCTCGCCAAAATTAACTAACACAGATCACAAGGCCCATCGATGGACCAAAAATTCACACCGATCACTCACATTCTGAAGAAGGAGTGAAGGAAGGAGATCTACTCAATGCCTTTAGGAAACTCACCGGGAAGAAGTTGGTGGCCGAGGGTCACCAAGTAGCGGAGGAATTGGTGCATTTAGGGCATGTTTGGTTGCTACCCTGAGCAACCTGCCTAAGTATTTTCCATGCCTGAGGGCTGCCTGAGCTTGCTTGCAGAAAGTACCTGTCCAGGCATGACACAAATTTAAGGAGGTGTTTGGTTGAAGCCCTGAGAACATGCCTGAGTGGACATAAGGGTCAGGCAGTGTTTGGCTTATATTCTGCCTGAGCATACACTCACCGTATACTATGTAGATGGTGAGAGTACCCTCTACCAAGATTTTGCCAAACAATTGTCAAACGATCTTCCATTTCCTAATGATAAAAGCATCACATATTGTTAAACATGCAAATGGCAACAGGGAAATAGTGAATATATTTAACATCAAGTTTCAGCCATCATACAGATCAGTTCTAGCCAGTAATGCCACGAGTTAAACAAGACAAAAGAAAAGGGCCACAAAGCTAGGGTTATCAACTTGTCCAAAAGTTAGAAAGCAACACTACTAGCAGATTAGCATGTCATAGCATGCATCATCATAGTATCTATGTTAATATTTAGCAATTGTCTAAACACATATATAGTGCGGCAATTGCATGACCAAAAGGGTGCAGCAAAATATAGACCCTCATCAACCACGATTAGCTTTTGCAACCAATATGCACCTATAGCTCACTAGAGGCCTGTATCATCACCAGATAAGAACTTGTAAACCCAACGTTCAAGATATTCTTGACCCATGCTAATAAGAAAACTGCGATGAGCTTGAAATTCTGGCTTGCAAAGGTGTAGTCCAACTCTCATCTTATCTTCAGGTTCTAAGGCAATCTTCTTGAGCATGTCCCATAGAGGGGCATTTGGATCTTGAGGGGCTGCAGTCTGTATTGGTTTGGCAAGGTTATCTTTGATTCCAACCAAGGTACTAGTGATCAGCACATCAATATCATCATCATCATGCAATCCAGATGATGACTTTGCCTTAAGCTTACCCTTATCATTATGTGATTGAGGCAAGGTCTTTGGCTTCCCACACTTTTTGAAACTCTTCTTGTTTGGCTTCAGACCACTGGTATGAGAAGATGAAACTTGACTAGTTGCTGCATTAAGGGCTGCAGTTGCTGCATTAAGGGCTGCCACCTCCTTGCAATCATCACTGTCTGCCTCTAATTTGTCCGAGTCTTCCCCTTGTGGATATTTTGTTTCAGCATAGGTTGACATATCATTGAAAGTATCAAGTTCATCAGCTTCATCATCAAAATCAGCAACACTTGAAGGATCTTCCATAAACGCTCCATCAGCCGAGGAACCACTAAACAACTCTTGCAGCTTATCGAAGAACTGAATAGGCTTTGAAAGAATTCCACGGTCATTAATCTGCCAAGAAAAAGTCATCAATAATAGAAAATCTATTTAACAAATATATCATGTATTCAAAACAACAAGAGATTACCGATAGGCTATCCAAGGTAGATTGGGAGAGAGACAACATTTTGTTTGTCTCATCCCAGCCACCACTACTCTCATTTAGATGGCGAGCTACAAGTGCCCAAGTCTCTTTATGGTGCCTATAGTGTCGTTGAACCTGATCAACATTGTAAGTACTGCCATACTTTGCATTAATAGCTGATGTGCAAGCAGTGTGATGCATCTTCTTGATCACTCCCTTTGGTGGCAACTCTAACTTCTTTTCAATGTAACAGTCAAGAAGAAATTCAGAGAATGCTGGTGGCCAATTTATGGGTTTTGACCTCACACCTGATCCCCCAACTCCTTTGCGTGCCTTACTTTTTCCCTTGCCATGTTTGTTGCTTCCTCCTATATCCATGTTATGAACTACAAAGCAATGCACAGTAGGTAATAATGGCATCCAACAAAAAAACATAAAGTAGAAAATGCTATAATATGAAGAGCTGAAAGAAGAATTCATTAGAAATAGCTAACAGTCATAGAACAATATCCATGCCATACAACACCACTGTTAATGTTCCTCCCACATAATATTAGCTAGATTTTCTCGAAATTCTATCCACTGTTGGTGCTCCTCGCCATAATCTGTCGCTACTCTAGCTGATCTAGGTAGCTTACTATACCAACGAGCTTCATCATATATGATGTTATCAGGACCATTATCAAGGATCCAATTATGCAGTACACAACACGCTATTACTATCTTCACTTGGACTTTATATGGAAAGAAAGGCTTGCTAGCAAGAACTTTGAAACGGTTTTTTAAGGTTCCAAATGCTCTCTCAACAGATGTGCGAAGGGAGGAATGTCGAAGATTGAATAATTCTTGAGGTGTTTCTGGTGATTTCCCGCCTTCGTACTCTTTCAGGTGGTATCGAACACCCCTAAATGGTGGTAGTATACCAGGTCTTGCTGCATACCCTGCATCAGCTAAATAGTATTTGCCTACAACAGAAGATGAATGGTTTTATTGCCTTGTCACAAAATATTGTGCACCTGAAAATACTAAAGCTTCATGCACACCTTCAGGTATTTGAATTCCACTTGATCTTCTAAGAGCAGCCTTGAGAACCACTGAGTCATGTGCGGAACCCTCCCATCCAACAAGAACATAGGTAAACCTCAAATCAAAGTCAACCGCAGCAAGAACATTCTGAGTTGGATAGGACTTGCGACCTCTAAACCTGTTAACTATATTCTCTGGGACAAATGCAGGGATGTGTGTGCCATCCAATGCCCCGATGCAATCCTAAGTTAGAAGAAATTATTACTATACAAACATAAAGTGGTTACATTAATTAGAATGTTGAATAAGTATATTTCACGTGAGATACCTCAAAATATGGGTAGAATCTACCAGGATTACTAACTATCTTTGAATGGGTCTCTATTGACCTAATTTGTATCATATCTTTAGCAAGACAACATAAAGCTTTCAACACCTCATTGAAGTACCGGCTCACTGTCTCACTGGATCTTATGACATAGAATCCAATCACACGATTTCTTAAATTGTGGCCAACTGTGTGCAGGAACATAGCTAATTGTTCTTCCACTGAGACATGGATTGTGTCACATAGTAGGCCATTATCACGTAATTTGGAGGCAAGTTTCCAGAACACTTCTTTCCTCATCCGAAGCTGACTGATGCAAGTTGTATCACTCCCATTGTACAAATCATCTAATCTTGTTTTCCTGACCAAATCTCTATCCACCAATGGACCATACTTCCTTGGATGTCGTCTATTTCTTATACGACATCGCCAGTGAATAATTGCCAACACAACAGCTAAAACACCCAAAGTTCTAGTTCGTTGATGGACAATATACTGATGAGTAGAATCTAGATCCATCTGAGCATCACACGACAAAGGAAAAAAAAAGAAACTAGTGAAAAAAAGCACACATTTTGACATAGTTTTACTTCTAATAGGCATACTCTCTACGGATCCTTGAATAACAAAGCAGCAAGAGAGGGGAAAAGTAAAAAAAAAACTGCGATTGTGTTCTCACCTTGCTGCAGAAAATCGTGGCAAAGATTGTGGGGGCTTGGCAATCTGACGCGCACAGAGGAAAGGAGAGAGTTAGAAATTTTGATTCCCTTCAGATCTGGACAAAGTACTCTTCTTTTTCTACTTACCTGCTAGCTCTCACGGTCAGAGCTATGCTCTAACAGATCACCAAATGCAGGACTTTTACTGGAAAAAGAAACAACTGGCCACCAGATCTGCAAGTTCCTTGGTCACCGCTGCTGGAGCCATGGAAGAATCGATGGGAACTGGTCTCCGCAAGAACCCTAGGCTAGCAGTGAGGAGGAGGAAGAAGTGGTCTCGTTTTCACTACTGTATAGAAGAGCGGTGATTTTACTCAGGCAGGTGGAGCGAAATGCTCAGGCCACCCATTTTGTACGCCTGACTCAGGCGAGTACACTCAGGCAAGATTTATCAGGCTAGAATCCTCAGGGTAGCAACCAAACAGATGCCAGGCGAGTTACAGGCATGACCTTAGGCCAGGCTTATTTGCTCAGGGTAGCAACCAAACAGGCCCTTAGTCGCCGTGCCCGAAGGAGATGGTTAGTACTCGAAGAATTGAACCGCCGGAGATGGACATGGCCCTGGTCGCCTGCGGCCATGGTTGGGATGGCGCGTCAGATGCTGCATGCTCTGTGCAGCGAAGGATGTGGGTCGGGGGTGTTTCCTCTCGAGGAGGCGGGTACGGCCGCCGGCGGCCGGAGCCACGATTTGTCGAGGTTTTGGGGAGGTGGGAGAGGAGGATAGGCTCACCGTTCGATTAGGTATAAGCGGCTAAGATCACATCTGGCACGAACAGTGCGGTAGGTAAATTTCCTGATGTGCCCTTTATAATTGTCACTCTTCAAAATATATTGGCTGTGATTGGAACACCTCTCCATCGTATTCCATACGCACACTTTTTAGACTGTTAAACGGTACGTTATTTTGCAAAAAAAATTTTATACGAAAGTTGTTTAAAAAAATCATATTGATCCATTTTTTTTAAAAAAATTAGCTAATACTTTATTAATCACACACTAATGGACCGCTTCGTTTTTCGTGTTTACAGTGCATGTTGGGAACATGCTATTCCGAATACACCTTGGACCTCTACCGAACCTCTGTGCCTTTTGGGCAGGCGGTTCAGATTAATCATCAACAGTTCAGATCCGGGAGATATTTAACTATTTATCACTTTTAGATGTGACATTTAACGATTTAATTTTTAGTGCTGGTGTGGAGATATTTAACTATTTACCATTTTTAAATGTGGCTATTAACTATTTGATATTGGACTCATATGTCGTAGGTAAATAAGCACACATGTGTTATGACAATATATTTTTTGTGTGTGTCATCCTTGGGTGGTAAATATGGGTCGTAAATAGTTAAACGCCTAATAAGTGGCAAAATAGATTGTTTTTCCATGGTTCTTTTTTAATGTAAGAACTTTACAGAAATTTCACATAATTTAATTAAATTCTGACAAAATCTCTATAAATTCTTCCATTTTGAAGAAGATTAAGAGAGGTGACATGACAGCGTCCGTTCGTTGGTCATTTAATTGTCTCACTAGCGCTGCCCCCTCATACTGTACTGACAAACTGATAATACTCCATTAGCATGCACGGTTCAGGTAGTACTCCTAGTTTATTACCACTGTCGTCGGTGACATTGGTTAGGTTATCAATTTGTCAATCATCACGGACAAATTAAATCCTCGTCGGAGGCCCGCGTTTGTTCGGATATCGCAGTCCGTAAAACCGTAAACATGACAAAAAGAACACATTATTGCTGCCATGTGATGTGCAGATGTGCTAAGCTTGTTATTGCAAAATCACGGCAGATATAGGCGTCGTTTGATTTTGCAGTGTTTGCGTTCTTAATTTAAGAACCTGCACATGGCATGCACCTACCATTTGGTCCTTTTTTAAATTTCAGTGTGCTTAATTTCACAGCCTCATAGGTAACGGCAAATAGATTGCAAAAGGTATCAAATTGCTACTACAGGAGTAGGATAACAGATTTGACTAGCTGATGCAAACTTACCCCAGAAAAGAATACTTCCTTTCGCTTATTTAATTTTAATCTGCACAAGTACTTACGGGTTACGGCTCCATGCAGATAACATGGGTAATAAAGTCTGTAAATTCTAACCCCTCTTGAATGTGTAAACGAAGAGTAAAAATGCCTCATGAAAATCTCACTTACCATATTATGCGACTAGCTGTGTGATACCATCATCTCTCTTTTTTTTTTAATAAGAACGTACATATATAAAGCTAGTAGCGTCATTGAACGTTCGGTGAAGACACGTCGGTACGTCACATCATAAAGTGCACTTAATTAATCAAATTAAATACAAACCGCAGATCATTACAAGTGAGATCGCACCGACGATTGAGGGAACCAGGGCAAGGTAATTTAAGTTATTCAATTCAATGAAATATCTTAAAAGACTAATGATACACTTAGTTTTATTGACTTTCTGGTAGCGGTGAAAATGGCTTGAAGTTTTCTAATGGTATCTGCTACATTGCAGTTTTGTATCGACTGCTTTATTTAGATTCTGAATTATTTGAAAATGGAATGGAAATGCTATTTTTTTAACTTCTTGGAAAATTCTGGATAAACACGATACAAAACAATATATCACAGACAACCCATTAAAAGACACCGTATATTTATGATAACCCATCAAAATAAAAAAAAACAGTATACACCACAACCCATCAAGGAAAAAAGTTGTAACCATAATATTTCCAGTTGATGCTAAAATATTATTACAAGGTATTTAAATTAGTTGCTTATTATTTTGAATTTTCACTAATAAATGCATATGACGTTAATTTATAATGTGAACATGACCTTGACTAATAATCTTGTGTGCCTAGTGATAGGTTGATTTCGAGGTTTTATTCTAATAATTCTGTTTGCAATATTTCCTAATGTTTTAATAGTATCAATATCATTTTTGTTTCCAACTCTACCATTACAGTTCATTTCTAAGAAAAAATGGTAACGTGATAGTTTGAGCATTTCTCCAACAATTTTCATCCTAGTAGTAGAAGGTGTAGTTTTTGCGGGATTAAGTCTTCCATCGTTTGGTTATTGACTTGTACTCGAGTTTTGAGACCTTATTCTAGGGTAATTTTTTAGTCAAAATATATTTTTCAGTCTTTAGTTTTACACATAACTAGCTGGGTGGCCCGCGCAATTGCGTGGCTAGCACCTAAATAAAATCATATATTTTTTAGGATGATTTTACTTAAATTTTATTAAATAGCTATCTCGTCGTCTTAAGACTTTGAAAGACCACATCTTATCATCCCCGTATTTCTAATTATATAGTTTTTAAAAGTCAAACCAGCTATTACCCCTTACTTCTGTCATATCCTTCTTTATTTGCTTGCTTGATCTACCATTATTTCTATTCATTCTCCTTTAAACCTTTAAAAATCAGATCTTATAGTTTTTATAATTTCTAGAAGTCCCGTCAAACGCTGTTATTATACTCCTCTACAGGCCGTCAACTGTCTTTTCTCTATATTGTCATTGGGACTTTAAAAATCGAACATAATTATCGTTTGGGTTCATTTTTTACTTTCTAAAGTCCCACTAAACCGTCAGCGGCTTTGCCATTGTTTTCCTTTATGGCACACCCACTGCCTCCCTTCTTTATCGTCATTGAGATTTTAAAATTGAACATGATTATCATTGTGTTTTTTTTTTACTTTTTAGAAGTTCCAAACCTTTAAAAACTGGACCTCGTAGTTTTTAGAGTTTATAGTCTTGTTGGTTTCATTTTTATAATTTTTAGAATTCCTGTTAAACGATGTCACTATACTCCTCTACGGCTCATCCGCCGCCTACTCTTTATTGTCATTGGGATTCTAAAAATCGAACATAACTATCGTTGGAATTCATTTTTTATTTTCTAGAAGTCCCGCCAAAACTGTCAGCGGCTTTGCCATTGTTTTCCTTTATGGTACGCCCGCTGCCTCCCTTCTTTATCGTCATTGAGATTTTAAAATTGAACATGACTATCATTGTGTTTTTTTTACTTTTTAGAAGTTCCAAACCTTTAAAAATTGGACCTCATAGTTTTTAGAGTTTATAGTCTTGTTGTTTTCATTTTTTATAATTTTTAGAAGTTCCATTAAACGATGTCACTATACTCCTCTATGGCTCATCCGCCGCCTACTCTTTATTGTCATTGGGATTCTAAAAATCGAACATAACTATCGTTGGAATTCATTTTTTATTTTCTAGAAGTCTCGCCAACCGTCGGCGGCTCTCCTATACATCCCGCCCGCTGCTTCTCCTTTTTATTATCATTGAGATTTTAAAAATCGAATATGATTAGCATTGGTTTTTTTTTACTTTCTAGAAGTCCCGGCAACCGCCTTGATCGATTGCTTCACGGCCTACCTGTCGTCCTTCATTTCAATCGTTATTAGGATTCTATTTGGTGTTTTATTAACAGTTTTTATATGTCGTATCAACCGCCACCACTCTACTTCTTTATAGGCATGTTACTTAATTAATCTCGCCATGTGTTTTAGATGGTATTTTCTTTCAATAGTTTTGATTTTTTATCACCAATTTTAGTTATTTATAAATGGTATTCCAAGTATTTTTCTTTTTTTAATTTTAGAATTTATTTTATTTTTCGTATTGTGTTCTTTTGATATTTTTATTTTTTATTTTCAATTTCAGTTGTTTCAAAATTGTATTTCTACTTTAACTCTCTTTTTAATTTGCCTAATTTCGGATTTTATTTTGTTTTTTCTTTCGAATTTTAATTAATCTACTATTAGGTTGTTATATGCACTATTATTTTCAACACTGCTTATATTTAATTTCGAATTTAAGTTAATTTTAAATTGTATTCCTTCTTGAACTCTTTTTTTCGTTTTTTTTCTAATTTTTGATTTTTTAAATTTTTCATTCGAATTTTAATTAATCTTGTATTGGATTCTTATATGGACTCTTATTTTAATATTTCTTATTTTTAATTCCGAATTTCAGTTATTTTTAAATTGTATTCCTACTCGAACTCCTCGTTTTCCTTTTTCTAATTTCGAAATTTATTTTATTTTTATTCCGAACTTTAATTAATCACGTATTGGGTTCCTATATGGACTCCTCTTTCAATATTGCATATTTTTAATTCCGAATTTCAGCTATTTTTGATTGTATTTCTATTTGGACTCTTCTTTTCTTTTTCTCCGATTAATGTGGAAATTTCTAGCCTCCACAGCGAACGTGATTATGTATTTTTGGCTTGCTAATTTTTGGCTTGGTTATGTATTTATTGGCATGACAATACTGATACAATTCGGAAACGGCAGAGTTTGATTAGGATTGTTTTGTCTTTCAATGTTTCTAAAAGTAGTTTGAACACACGTATTCCCAAAATATCGTCCATTTCCAATATGATTATGTTTTTCTTTTCTTTCTTCTTTTTTTTGTTTTTGACCTATTGTACATTCCGTTTCCAGATTAGGTTTTCCTTTTTTTGTTTGTTTCTTTTTCTTTTGTTTTAGACAGATTGTCCGATTCCGTTTCCAGTAGTATGATTAGGTTTTCCTCTTTTTTTTTACCGATTGTCCGATTCGAGTTTCTTAATTTGTCTTTTTTTTTCTTCAGTTTTTAACTAATCCTAATCTAGTTCTATTTTTCTATTTTTTTATTTTTTGATTAATATGAGAATTTATAGGACATGAGAGCGAACGTGAAGGCTCTTTTTTCTATTACTTTAAAGGTATAATAATAGATTATTGTTTTTTGCTTCCTTTATTTTTATTATCCTTGTCAGCTGTAGCCCATCGAATTTCAACGGTTTCACTTACCTGCATGTCCCACGTGATTGTTCTTTCTGTTCCTTTTTTTATGGGATTGTTCTTTCTGCTTGAGGAAATTGAAGGCTGCCTTCTAACTGAAAATAGTCGGCGGGGGTATTATTGGAAATACACTCATCCACGCCAACGGCAACGACGCCTCACACCGTCACACGGAACGGAAGCCGCACACACTCACTAGCGAGCACGAGAGAGAGAGAGAAAAAGGCTTTAAAGAAAGCGAGCTCGCAGCAGATCGACCGGGAGAGATCACAAGCTGAGAGCTCTGAGCTCACCTCACCCAAGCTCCAAATCCTTCCTCTCCTCTCGCCGACACGCACGCCCACCCAGCTTCATCGGATCCGGCACGCGGCGACAATGGCGGCGACGACGACGATCCCCGCGCGGCCGCTGCTGGCCGCCGTGCTGGCGGCGCTCCTCCTCTCCGCCGCCTCGGCCGCCGACAGCAAAAGTACCGTCTCTCTGACTTTCTCTCTCTAGAGTAATCTCTGTAAATTTACTGAATTCTGCTGCTCTTGTCGCTGCATTTCCGAGCGCTCTGCCCGCGCATGCTCCGATTCGGGAATGGGGCTTTGCCGTTTTAGCGCGCTGTGGCGGTTGGATCTGGGTCTGGGGCCTGCTGGTAGCTTAGCTTAAGCCCGAATTGGGATCTTGGGGGGAATTGGGGGTGAGGGTCAAGGGTGGACTCTGCGCCATTTGGGGCAATTGGCCAGTTGGGGTCATGGAGAAGTGGAGATCGCTGTGGAAGAAGCAGCATCCAGTGATGCGTGTCTCTGTTTGGCATGTAGGGAAAAGCTGCATAGTGTGCATAGTTGGTTGATCTCTTCATCGAGTGAGCAAATGGTCCACTAAACTGAAGTCTGCATTTGCAAACTGTTCATCAAGGTTTTGAGAGGAAGACGTTATGAGAGCAGTAGTTGAGGCAGTGTAAGTTGTAAGGCTCTTTTTTTTTTCTGAAATAAGTCGTAATGCTTGCTAAAAAAAGGGCTGGTTCTTTTTTTTTTTTGGGGGGGGGGGTGGGGGGTGGGGGGGGTGTCATGAGATGTCCTCGAGTAGTAGATCTTTTCTGGAAAAATGGATGCAAAGATCTTCTCAAAATTTTTTGACATCATGATAGAATCTGATAACGTAAAGTGGTGCATGTGCCATTCATCTATGCACCACAAAACATTTTAAATTGAAATAATGAAACATTAATCGATTGGTGTGGCAGCAAAAAACAAAATGGTTTTCACATTGTACCTTATATTTTATCATATGTTACTAGTTATGCTTAAAATTTTGATATGAATTAGCATACATCTTACTAATTACAGATGTTATTGCAAGTAACACCAGTTAATTGTAAAACACTATTACTCAATACACACACTGTTGCTAATAATGAATGCTGGTATTATAACATCTTTAATAAACAAAATTCCCAAAAGTAAGCACATTAAGTTTGATACTAGCATGCTCAACTTTCACATTGGTTGCTGCTTTCTCCATTGAAAAATGTCTGGACTACTGATCATTGCTGATGGAAATTTGCTGTACTTCCCTCCACATTTACTGTAGGCTTATTAATAAGAGTTTAAAATTTTAAGTTAGCATGCATTTGTTGGTTCCAGTGTTGTGATTTTTTGCTTGTAATCAAATGGCCACCCAATCACAGCCTAATGCATTTGTGTACCAATTCCACCTCTTAACTGATCTCCTTTCCAGATAACCCTGCCGACCAGCTTGTGGCATTGATCAACAGCAACCGCACTGCCAGCAAGGCATCTACTCTTGATGATAACCAAGGCCTAGGATGCATTGCTCTGCAGTACATTAAAGCATACGAGGGTCAGTGCAACCAAGTCGGTGAAAGCAAGAAGCCTCCGGAGACCAGCTTCGCTGAAACATTTGCCCCAAATTGTGGCGTCCAAGCTGCAACACTCACCAAGATCACCGGGAGGCTTCTGGCTTGCCAGTCTAACTATGCGACCCCAGACCAGGCGTTCAACTTCCTGGTTAATGATGCGAAGAGCATTCAGGTACTGCACAGCAAGAACCACACGGAGGTGGGAGCAGCTGTCAGTGGCACTTCTGGCGGCGGGCCGTACTTCTGGTGTGTCTTGTTCAGCAGCGGGAAGCCAACCACCAGCTTCAAGGTAGATGGTGGAGTGCCCAAGTCTGTCCGTCCAGGATGCTTCAGTGGCAACAACGACGATTGCATGGGTGCCAATGCTGCAGTTTCGATCGGTGCAGGTACATGGAGACTGGTGGCTGCACTACTTTTCTCCGCGGCTTGTGTTTTCGCTTTGTGAGTTTGAGTAGAAATGTGTTGTTGCACCATTCTTTTGCTCGTCTTGGACCTGGTTTGGAATTTTGCTTCTGAAAACCAGTAGAACACTCTTGTTGCTGCCGCACTGTTCTTTTCCTTTCTTAGCAGCTGAACTCTGTCAGGATTAAAGAGCATTGTTTTCTGCACTTATAGATGATGAATTACCTGTGCAGGCTGTTCATCTGTTGTATTTATAGTATTTATCTATTCAAATGTACTCTTTGGAAAATAATTGTGATTGTAAGATCCTTTTGATCACTCGTCTATTCCCATCGGATGCGCTTTCTGCAGCAAGTGCCCTGTTGTATCTTTTTTTTTATAATAGAAATGAATTACATCTCCGGTTTTTATCATAAGACACACATTTATAAGTTTGTTAAAAAAAAGGTAAAGATAAAAATAAATCAAAATGGGAAATGGAGTGCCTGTTGTATCGGTACAGAACTTGCCATTGATTGAAAGAGAATTAACTGAGAATGTTATTCCGAATGAGATCCCTTGGACATTTCATAGGGAAAATATGGGAATGGTAAAGTAAACATTTGCTCCATGAATATTTTAAGCCTAATTGCTCCATAATTTGACAATGTGGTGCTACATTAAACATTTGCTAATGACAGATTAATTAGGCTTAATAAATTCGTCTCGTGGTTTACTGACGGATTTTGTAATTAGTTTTTTATCAGTGTCCAAACACCCCATACGACACCCTATATAATATCCGATGCGACAAGCCAAAACTTTACACCCCTGAATCTACCTGTTTAGTTCCTACGCAAAAACTTTTCATCCTGTCACATCGAATGTTTGGACATATACATGGAGTATTAGATATAGACAAAATAAAAAATAATTACACATATTGTGTGTAAATTGCGAGACGGATCTTTTAAGCCTAATTGCTTCATGATTTAACAATGTAGTGCTACAGTAAACATTTGCTAATGATGAATTAATCAGGCTTAATAAATTCGTCTCGCAATTTACATGTGAAATCTGTAATTTGTTTTATTATTAATATATGTTTAATACTTGAAATGTGTGTCCGTACATCCTGAGACACGCATAAACTTTTCAACGCTAGATCTAAATACAGCCTAAACACCCCCTGAATGCACAAATGCACGATGCACAACCCTCCCGGTCTCTCCCTGTCACAGCAAAAGCACTGTAGCAACACGCCAACAAACGAAGCACGAACCCAGCCTAGGCACAACCATTCCGATCCCCGATAACGGACACGAACAAAGTCCCAGTTACTCTAGACCCACCCTATACACCGGAACCAAGACACCGCACGAATCTCAAAGCGAAACGACGGCGCGGGCGCACGGTGCACCGGGCTCACCTCACCTTGGGCCCGCCCCCACGTCCGCCGCCTCGGGCCTCGAACCCGCCTCAGCCCGCAGCCATCCACGACCCAAACCCAACCCACCACCATCGCCTGCCTCCGCGCTCTCCCCCTCGCCCGCGCGGGAAAACCATAAAAAACTGCGCCGCCGCCCAAACCGCCTCCTCCTCCTTCCCCCGCAAGCCTCTCCCCCTTCCCCCCCCCTCTCTCCCGCCGCCCTCGCGCTCCTCCATCGCCGATGCCTCGCCTCCGCTCGGGCGCGGACACCGCGAGTGCATCCGCGGGGGTCACACTTCCACCGTCGCCGTCGCCGCCGCCGCCGACGGAGATGGCGGGCGGGTCGTCGGCGGGGACTCCGTGGCCGTCCCCGTCCACCGCCCTCACCCTCGGCCTCGGCCTCGGCCCCCCCGCCGCCGACGGATCCCTCAAGTCCCCCGGCCTGGCGCCGCCGCCTCGCCGCAGCCTGCGCCTCGCCTCCGGGGCGGTGGCATCCGGCGTCGCGAGCCCGACCACTACCCCGGCGTCGTCCGCTCCTGCTGCGGGGGCCGATGGCGCTTCCTCCGGCTCTGGTTCCGCGTCGTCCGGGAGGAGGAAGGGGAGGGCACAAGCGATTCCTGCCCCCGTTGCTTCTCCGACCAGCGCTGGTGAGTTTGGGGGCGGCGGCGAAGTTAGGGTTTGGGGCGGCGGTAATCGTAGTGGTGAAGCGGCATTCATAAGCTTGCAATCGGGGTCTAGGGTTGCGAAACGGTCGATGGAGCTTGGTGTTCAAATGGGTGGGGAGATGGGTCTCGGATCGAATGGAGGTGGCGGGGCTGGAGGCCAGGTGCATGATGAAATGCCACACCGGAATGTGGATAGTTCGGGGAAGCGTCGTAAGATAGGGATGGAGATCCCATACGTCTCTGATTCAGAGAGTGACAATGATGATGACTGCATACTTCCAGGGGAGGATGGCAGTAGGATGCCGGTACAGTTATGCGCTGCTTCTGATTTGATTGAACTGAATCTGTTCACCATGAGCATGGGCAGGACAGATGAAGGGAGAATGGGTGATTCTGTGAAGACAGGTAAAAAGAAAGCTAGTGGAGTTACTATTCGAGAAAATGACATCCCCATTGACGAGCATGTGCACGGACAGAGTTCGGCAATTGGTGAGAGTATTGAGCTATTAGCATCTCCTATGCGAAGTGCATTAGGCGAAAACCATGCAGGTATGTATTCCACAGAAGAGGAGAGAAGGCAGAAGGCTAGGTATGATGTTAAAGGCAAAGGGAAGCTGTATTTGGGGAACGATGATTCTGGTGCTGGTACCGGGATTGGTAAGTTTAGTCCCGATAGTAAAGGAAAGGCTAAGATGGTTGTGGAAGAGAGTTCATTGTCTGTTAGCTCAGGTGCGGATCAAATGGATTTGAACTCAGTGATTTCTGAAGAGGTGCAGAGTTTCCCAGCAGATCATTGGGAACCACGTCGGAGAGAAAGGGCAAGACAGAGAGCTATTGAAATGGCTCCTAGGTTTGCATTCTTCAAAGCAGATGAAGATGGACATAGTGATGATGGTGATGATGATGATGACAATGCAGAAGAGTTGGAACCGGTTCCTGATCCTCAGGACTGGCCAGGTCCATTTTCAACTGCAATGAGGATCATTACTGACAGAGAAGCTAAACTGAGAGCTCGGGAGTTGAATTCTTCCAACTTGAACAAGTCTGCTAATAAGGTCATTTCGTGGATACCTTCCAAAGATAGGAAATCTCCACTGCGATCTGCTCCATCGCTTACTAGCTTGTGCTTGCAAACTCTTTCAAATAATGCTGAAGCTATCGAATCACTTGCTGGCATTCCAGATGAGCTAAAAAATAGACTCTTATCTAGTCTATGCCATTCTAGAAAGATGAATGTCCATCTTCTTGGTGAACTCATGTGTGATAATCCTGTGACAGTGCAACTCAGTGAGTGTTCATGGTTGAGTGAGGATGACTTTGAGACCATTTTTGGGAAATGCAGGACAGAAATCTTGCAGGTAATATTTTTTTTACTCTTTATAGCTAAATGCCGTGCGCTGATATGAATTAAAAACGAATTACATGTTGTAATTTTTGTAAAAAAATTGTGAGCTATTTCATTGAACACACCCTTAATATTTTTGTTACAGGGAGCACATGACAATTTTACATTCTAATAGTAAAGTTATCATTTATCCTACATATATATGTGAAAATTTTGTTACCATAGATTATTCCGTGATTAACTAGAATTTTAGAGGTTGAATAAGATATTAAAACATGTAGAAGCACCATTTCGTCCATGTGCCATGTCTCGATTTGTCGTTGAAAAACAAGTTGTTAAATTTGTCGGTTTTAGATTATGACCATAACAGTGTTTGGGTCTTAGGGTTGATCACTGATATTTTGTTAACTTTGCGGCCTTCTTATTTAAGTCACCTATTGAGGACTCATTTTCCCTCCCTTTTGCTCTTACTGAAGGTTTTGCAGCTTGACTTATCTGGGCGATGCATGCCTGACTACATGTTGCCTGCTACCTTAGCAAAGGTTCCTAACAGCATGCCATTATTGAAAAAAATATCTCTGAAGGGAAATTACCGTCTTTCTGATAGTGGGTTAGACACAATAATCTCTGCAGCCCCTTCTCTGAGTTCGCTAAATTTGTGCGAGTGTTCTCTTCTCACTTCAACTGGAATCGAGAATCTTGCTAACAAGTTGAGTTTAGTCCTTACGGAACTATATATTGATGACTGCTTAAACGTGGATGCCATGATGATTCTTCCTTCCTTACAAAAGATTAAGCATTTAGAGGTTTTATCAATGTCTGGCATACAATCTGTCAGCAATAAGTTTGTCAATGAGCTTATTCCTGTACACGGTTCAAATCTGAAGGAGTTGGCATTTGCTGGTTGCTTGTAAGTCTTCATGGCATTCTACTTAATTATGAGGAATATCTTCTTTATTGTATTATTACTTTATCAGCACTAGTTTTAGGTTACAACTTTCATCTCCCAAACTACACCATGAATCAGGTGCATACAAAACAAATTTTCCATATAAAGCATAAGTCCAGAGCTGATTCTAATGTAACTAGAAGGTCTACAATAGAGAAACAACAGTAATAAGACAATTATTTACCTCAATATCAGTACATGACAGCTGTCCTATGTGTTAATACAGCACCAATTTCCATCAGTAAAGGGGCTAGGGAAATGCTTATCCATCAATATAGGGCCAGCATTTTAAATGTGGATCTGTAACTTTTTATCTGATGAGAGTCCTGACCAAAATGAAACTATAACATGATATTGCAGGCTGCCAATAGCTTTGGTACCTTCTTGAAAGCCTTTTGACATCAATCCCTTAAATATTTATTTAATAATTGTATTCACTGGGGCACTGGCCTTATTGTTGTTATTTAAGTGTCACATTTGAGAGCATATTGTTAATAAGTTATTCTCTATATACTATAGGCCCTGTTTGTCACAATCATCTGATACCATAAATGTTTATACTCATAATATGACATATTATGCAGGTATAGATACATGATTTAGGGTGTAATTCTGACTACCTACGTTTGTGTCATCTATATGTAGGCAACTGACATCATCTTCCATTAAGACTATTGCGGGGAACTGCCCACAATTATCTTCATTGGACCTTCGCAACCTGAATAGATTGCGGGATTCAGCAATGAGACATCTTCGCAATGGTTGCCGGCTTATAAAAAAAATAAAGCTCCAAAGGAATACATTCAGGTATTTCTCTTCTGATGCTGTTTGGAGTGTTTTTATTCTTTAGCAGGATAATTTTGTTAGTATGTACATCCATGGCTTTATTTTTTTTAGATAATGATCATTGAATGAGTTTTATCTTTTCGACTAGTGTTCTACTTATCATCTTTTCAATAAGAATTTATTTCTTGGTATAGGGTGTCTTTTCAGTTTCTCTATGTAAAAAAAGGTTTTTAACCTTGTGAAAAGAAGCTGAATTTATCTCCCTTATTTTGCACACAATTACATATCCTGATTATACTGCTTGTGAAAGGAACCCACACTTTCCTTTGTTGGCTGGGACTGGGAGTCTAGCTGTCTAGGACAACCTGCTTGTTGGGTTGCTTCTGACCATACTCCCCAATTATGATGTTCATGTATCTGTTTGTTTTTACCTTGTAATTCCTTTTCTTTCTGTTACCAATTTTCAAATGAATTTCTCCTCTGTACTGTAAAGTCCTATAGCCTTATACGCTTTTCTGCCTGATTTTACTTACAGTTTGAGACAATTAATAACATAGTTGATGTGATGCGGATTACTTCATTCTTAATTATAATGCTGTCAAGATTCTATGTCCTACTGTAAACTCATTATTTATTGGAAATTCTGGTAGGATGTGATATTTGTAATCATGGTATTGGGGTCATTGTGTTTTGTTTGTTAGAATTGAGCTGCTACTTTTTTTTCTTTTGTAGATTAAGGAAACATTGAAATTACTATCTTGTCACAAAAAGTTGTTTTGTACTTTTCAAAGTCAACAATAGATAACTTTGACGGTTTGACCACCTATTTCTTTTGCATAAATAAAAAAAGTTTTACAGGTATAATATTATGAAAACTTTTGTTAACACAAACTTAGCCACTTCATTTCCATATGCCCATAACCTGCATTGTAAACAATAATTATGGCAAAAGTTAACTTGTTGACTGCACACATGCTAAAACAACATTCTTTTCTGATTGGAGGGAGTATAGAATACAAAGTTCAGTCTCAAAGAATCTCCTTGGTTTTTAGACCAGCAGGAATGGATCCCTCCTTAGCAATCTATAGTTCTATACAAGAGATGGTCAAAATCATATGGTAATATCCACATGTTTTTACAATTCCATAGTATTTGCCGTGTCAGCCTAACATATCAACACAGGTCAACACTGATGGATATTTTGGACCTTTATTTCATTTTAGCGTGACTCTTCATTAATACTTGGTACTCTTTTGTATTGATGAAGATGACACATGATTTTTGTGTAATGAGGTCGTGCAAAGTTGTTTCTGAGCTGTAATCATGTTGATTGTAATTGCAGTGATGAAGCTGTGTATCGGTTCTTGGAACAGTCTGGAGGATACCTAACTGAGTTATGCCTGAACAATGTTGAGAAGGTACTCTGCCCATTGTTCCATTTCTCTGCTTGGATGTGTGTGTGCCTGTCTCTGCGTTGTGTTGATTGGAATTAGGACATTGTATGGGTTCTTTTCATGCATTTCTTGGGATATGATGGTATACTTGAATTGACTCATTGAATTGCTGTACTGCAAAACTAATTGCTGAGTCACTGATGTTTAACTGCTGATGTATAATCATTTATTCCCTGGCTGTTAGCACATAATTGTTGACTTCTAATTTCTTATTTATTCATTTTAAATACTGTTGCGGCGTTGCCCTTGCCTCCATTTCCTATGCATTTGTTTGCTTCATGTAAACCTGTACCATTGGGTAGTTTTTCCTGCTTTCTTGGACTGTTGTATGATGCCTTATAAGTCTTGCACATATATATCTTATGCTTATAATAATATCTACTGCTTTTACTTTAGGCTGGAAATCTTACTGCTTATGCAATTGCTCGCAACTGTTCAACGCACTTGGAGGTTCTGGATCTTTCCTTTTGCCGTGAACTGACCAATGAAGCGTTGGGGCTGATTGTCGACAGCTGCTCATCATTGAGAATTCTCAAGCTATTTGGGTGTACCCAGGTATGATAACTTATTCACATATTAAGTACTAGGGCGTTAGTATATTCTTGAAACAAAATGTCAGGCGCTCTGCCTATTCAATGAAGTAGAGAGCAGAAAAACAGTAGTTTTTTTAGAAGAACAAGAGCAAGCAGAAACTACTGCTGTACTTGTACTAGTACCACACGCTATAGTGGCTGCTCATTGAGCCCATCTAGTGGATAGCCAAATACGCTACCTCTCTTAGATTCAAACCTTGCTGGATGAAATAACCTACTTGGGGTCCACTTTTGTGGTTCGTTTGGAGAAGTCCTATTGCACTCCTTTGCGTCATAATGTTTTTCTGCTATCCTTTAGTCTTGTGCATACCTACCAGGATTTTTCTTTCCTGGGCCACTACTAGGATGTTAGTATAAAGGCTCAGTTTTTTTTTGGTTCATGTTCTATGCTCGATCTTCTACTGCCAGCAGTTATGCAGAAAGAAACAAACCTCACTTAGGAGCTCGTATGGTTCATAGTTGACTAGGTAGTGTCATGAGCCATCAATTTCACATTTATTTTTATCTAACTTGATCTGTTCATGTTGCTTTCCAGATCACAGATGTTTTCCTGAAAGGCCACTCAAATTCGCTGGTTACAATTGTTGGGATAGAAGGGAATATACTGAAGCAAACGGGGAGTCTTTAGTTCCCATGATAACCTACATTAAACTAGCCATTCAGCTTAGTCATGATGTCGAAGCCCCTGAAGGTGGCTGTAGCTTCTGGCAGGGAATATTTTTGCAAGCCTACCCTGCTCTCTGCTGATATCAATTAGATGATCCTATAGAGGATTAGCATTCGAGTGTTTAACATTCGTTCATGTTATGAAAAATCCAACGTTACATTACCAAAGTACCAAACTATTGAAAGAAAGTGAACTGTATCATTTTGGTCACATTGCTTTTCAAATTCTACATGCTCTTGCAAGAGGTTGATGACCGATCAGCCCGTTAGCAAAACGAATCACCGAGTGTCAGGTGCAGCATGAAGCCGTTTTCTGGAGATGTTTTGCGTGGTAGAGGCCAGTATTCTGTTCCTGTAACGCATCGTAATTCGCGGATGCACCTGAGTAAAAGCTGTTGCCTTGTGTGCTACTGTTTCCACAAGCCTACCAACTCTTTGCCTGTTGCTTTTTATTATAAAGCGGCTTTTCTCCGTTGCTCTGCAACGTAAGCCAAAAAATGGAGCTCTTACGTTTTGAGCCAGCGCTTAATATTGTCCTCACATGCAGCACACACGTTTGGCACGATGTTATTCTCCTCTCCCCAACTTTTGACCATCGTCCTGTTTTCCTTCATTCTCCCTAGACGGAAAAATGTTCTCTAAGCAACAAATTCCAATGTCGCAGATAGTACGATGTTGTGATGGTATGAAAAAAACACGACCATTTTGTTGGCATTCCTCCGCTACGCCGTGCGCCATCATCGACAGTGCACTGCACACGCCGTGACGTGTGGGCGCTGCTGCACCCGCAGCGAGCCTTGCTCGCCATCCGTGCGATGCGCGCGTGAGCCCAACGTTCAAGGATACATTGGCTGGGGTGAGAGTTGGCTCGCGACAAACCGTGACTAGCTTTCTATCTCTGGCTGGCTACCTCACTTCTGCTTTTGTCCATTTGCACTTAGCTGCAGCGTGCAATGCGAGAGGCGTAGTACGTCGTCGGTTTCCTCTGCATGGTCGCACGCACCGGATGGATGCTCGATCGAAGTGGAGACCACTTCTTTTTTTGATATTTTTCAGATGCTATATGTTCTTATCCTCCCTGCTGTTGCAATTAGGGACGTCAGTTTCTTTGGAGTTTGGCGACTTGGAGGTTCATGTGGGTGCAAAGGGAGAGGGAGGTGAAAAATTTGAAGCGAAATAAGCCAAATCTATTTTTTTCAACCTTTTTTTTTTTGGTATGGCTGGTAGGTGTGCAGTGCCATGAGAGATATGGATGGAGATATTTGGATATGGAACTGTAAAACTTGAAAATGACTAAACTATTTTTTTACTCGTGTTCAGCAAAACTTGGGAAGGACTGAACTACTAGTGGTGCATTTCCTATCCTCTTGTAGAGGAAATTTTAATTTTATTAGTATTAACACGAAAATCAAGTAACTGTTCCTGAGGGAGGCATGCACAATGTGACTAATCACTAGGGATGGCAATCGGGCGCGACGGGCACGGGTAGTGCCTACCCATACCCATGCCCGTGAGATTATTTGTGCCCGTGGGTATACCCATTACTACATGACGGGTAAGGATGGTTGCCCATGCCCATTGCCCACGGGTGTCTTATTCCCGGAGGCGTGCCCGTTTACCCGCCACAACAAAAGCAGTGGAACAAAAAGTCTACAAGCTACTAAGTTCGAATCGAACTTAAAACATCAAATATTCTCCGCCTCGGTGTCGTGTCTCTCCTCTGGCAGCGATAGAGTAAGAGGAGAGAAATAATAAGGGAAATAAAAGGGAAACCATAGAAAACAAAGAACGTGGCTTATGTATTCTAGTGGATTTTGCTCCTAGCCTACATGTAAGTTAGATTTCGCGGGTAAACGGGCAAAGCGGGCATGGGTAGTGATTACCTATACCCATGCCCATTTACCCATCGGGCATAGCTTTTGACCCAATAAGATACCCATGGGTATAAAATGGAGAACAAACCCAACCTTAATAGGGTTTTTACCCGCGGGTAAACGGGCAAACGGGCACAATTGCCATCCCTACTAATCACTGGTGGAGAAACCCTTTGTAGTCCCGGTTTGTAACCCCCTTTAGTCCCGGTTTTCAAACCGGGAGTACAAATCCGGGACTAAAGATCGCTATCTTTAGTCCCGGGTGAAATAACCAGGACTAAAGATCGATCTTTAGTCCCGGTTGGTAACACCAACCGGGACTAAAGATGCCTCAGCCGGACCTTTTTTTTTTTTGCATGGCCCTGTTGCTGCATGGTTTATATATATATATATATAAACCATGCATATATATATATATATATATATATATATATATATATATATATATGACCAAAATATATTTACATTATAGAAAATGTGTACACATGCATATAGAAACATATGTAGTCATGTATTAATTACAATCCATTATATTTCCTAGCTAGCTACGATTTCGACGTAGTAGTAGTACTCGCTGCTAGCTCAGAAGCTAAGGACCAGTGAATTGTGTTTCCGTCGTAGTAGAATTCACCCTTGGGATCAAGGATTTCTTCGTTGATGAATCCCATGAGTTGTTCTTGAACCGCCGCGATAAATTCCTTGTGTGTGGTCAGGTTATCCCTCGTGCGAATAAACTATATGAATGTATGAAATTGATTAGTAATTAAACAAGAAATCGTTACGTAATGAAATTTTGAATTTATTTGTACGTACATCGAGCTCTCTTGTGGTGATGATTTGGTCTGCAAGGCAGTGGCAATACTCGCACACGTAATAGCCGCACAAGTTAGTTCCCTGCTTTTGCTTTGCGCACTACAAATAAATGACAAACAACGAGAGATCTAATTAATATACACTTGTATGTATTTGAATCGGAGAAATATAAATGTAGAGCATGTGTACTCATAGGAAATTTGAACTTCCGCCTAAGTCTTTCTCTCCATTTGCCGCGGACCAAATGACGGAACCGATACCAAGCCCTACATGGAGTTTAAAGCTATGATTCGTAGTAGCAATTAACATAACAAGATTTTCTTAATTAACAGAGGAACTTATGACGGTACCTGTCTATAAGCTCGAGACGACGGCGAGATATGGCGGCGTCGGCGCGGGGATTTGCCCTAGGCAGTGACGGCGAAGGAGAGAGGCCGAGAGAGATCGATCGGCCGAAAACGTTAATTGTTGGTGGAGAAGACGAGGGCGCGCATCGGGAATATATATAGCCCTCGATCTTTAGTCCCGGTTGATGAGAACAACCGGGAGTAAAGATATCTTTACTCCCGGTTGTTGAGAACAACCGGGACTAAAGAAAAGATCTTTACTCCCGGTTGTTCTCAACAACCGGGACTAAAGATATCTTTAGTGCCGGTTGTTCTCATCAACCGGGAGTAAAGATCTTTTCCCGCTATTTCCAAATTCTTTTTAAACCCGGTTAGGGTTAAGAACCGGGACTAAAGATTATAGCACTGCATATTATTTTTGCTTACATATGTGTTTCTAAAATAGAAGTTAATGCATTAACATTATTTAAAGTACAAATATTAATGACAATTACTTCGAAAAATTATTTTTGTCTATAATAAATTAAGTGGATAAATCGTAATAAGCAAATATATGACTTAAAATGAATAAAAATTCCAATAATCATATATACTTAGCATATGAATGATATTATTAAATTGGTAAAAACTCTAATTAAGATATGTATGTACATACTGCATGATTTAAAATTAATAAAAATTGTAATCATCATATGTACTTAGCGTAGGAATTATATTAAATTAAATGTTAAAAACTCTAATTAACATATGTAAATGCCACATGCATGATTTAAACCTTTTAAAAATTCGAATAGTCATATATAAGTAGCATATGAAAGATAGTAAATTAAATTGTGAAAAACTCTAATTAACATCTGTAAATGCCACATGAATAATTTAATACTTTTAAAAATTTTCTAGTCAATTATAATTAGCATATGAATGATATTCAATTAAATGTAGCATATGAATGATAGTAAATTATGCCATACATCAATTGATTTATATGGATAATCAATACATCCAAAATAGTTTACATCATGTACACAATAATTACGGCATTACATCGGCGGTGACGGTTGACCGCACGTACTTTCTCCTCACTATTGTTCCCTCCTTGTGATCGCTGCGTGAGTAAGGGGTGTCTTCATTTGATAGGAGGATGCTAGGGTCAATCGTCACCGTGAAAGGGGGTTGCCCATCCAACTGATCGTAATCCTCGTCAGTCTTGTCCTCAACTCCGATGATTTTTCTTTTGCCTGGGAGAACCACTTGACGCTTAGGCTCGTCAGACCCTCTGCCCTTCTTTCCTTTGCTAGACATGTCCTTCACGAAAAAGACTTGCGTTACATCATTGGCAAAGACAAAAGGTTCGTCCGAGTATCCAACCTTGTTAAGGTCAACAGTTGTCATACCACTGTCATCAATCATTACGCCTCCACCAGTCAACCTAACCCATTGGCACCGGAACAGAGGAACCTTGAGAGGACCATAGTCAAGTTCCCATATATCCTCGATGGCACCGTAATACATGGCAGTTGTTCCATCGTGTCCCATGGCATCGACACGAACAACGCTGTTTTGGTTCGTGCTCTTCATGTCTTGGGCTCTCGTGTAGAATGTGTACCCATTGATCTCATATCCCTGGAATGTCGCAATCGACCCAGACGGTCACCTCGCCAGGAAGGCAAGTTGTTGGTTGATCGACTCGTTACCCATGAGATGTTGTCGTAGCCACGTGGGGAAAGTATCAATGTGATGCCGTGTAATCCATGCATCGGACTTACCGATGTTCCTGGCGCGAACTAGAGCCAAGTGCTCCTCGATGTAAGGAGCTACCAATGAAGAGTGTTGCAGAACAGTGAAATGGGCTTTACGGAATAAATTGTTGTCTACCATCATTATTGCTTTCCTTCCGAGAGTTCCCTTTCCCCGTAGTCTCCCTTCATGGCGTGATTCAGGTACCCCGATTGGGCGAAGGTCTTCGATAAATTCTACGCAAAATTCGATGACCTCCTCTGTTCCATAACCCTTGGCGATGCTTGCCTCTGGACGAGCATGGTTATGAACATACTTCTTCAGAACGCCCATGTACCTCTCGAAAGGAAACATGTTGTGTAGGTACACAGGCCCGAGAATAAGGATCTCTTTCACAAGGTGACAAAGCAGATGCGTCATTATATTGAAAAATGAAGGTGGA